CTGTTGCCCGTTTGCCCGCGGCGTTGTGACCAGGCGGCTTGCCGGCGTGCATGGCAGAGGGGCCGTGCGGGCGTGGGACGTTGCAGAGACGCTGCCCGCAGGGAAAGCGGAGGGCGGTCTGCGGAGGACGACGGAGCCCTGGGGCGGTAGCGACAGTCCAGTCTCTACAGTGCCTTGGGAGAAGCTGGTCCCAGACTCCTCTGCTGCGCACGCACGTGGGACCTTGCTGGAGTGGGTCCAGCCGGCGTGCATGGCAGAGGGGCCGTGCGGGCGTGGGACGTTGCAGAGACGCTGCCCGCAGGGAAAGCGGAGGGCGGTCTGCGGAGGACGACGGAGCCCTGGGGCGGTAGCGACAGTCCAGTCTCTACAGTGCCTTGGGAGAAGCTGGTCCCAGACTCCTCTGCTGCGCACGCACGTGGGACCTTGCTGGAGTGGGTCCAAGGCCGGGGCACAAGGTGGGGGCGGAGGAGACTCCCACTGGGTGTTGCAGTGGGACTCGTGTTCTGTACGGGGGAGGAAAATCAGACGGGCCGATGGGCATGGACGGCGCATCCCTGGGTAATCGGTATCCAGGGCATGCTGGGGGTATTAGCCCTGGCCAATAGATTTTCTGGGCTGCCACCCGTCCATCCTGCAGGAAGCAGAGAGAGGCTTGGACCTGACTTCCAAACTGGCTCCACCCCCTGAATTTCGGACAGGAGGGTCAGCCTGAAATCCTCAGCTCCCTAAAATGCTGGTTCTGGGCTGTATCCAAATGAGGGCAGCTGGTTTTCCCAGCACCAGGTTCAGAAGTGGCGTTCTCATGAGTTTGCCTGGTGAGATTTCTGCTACTCGAGTTTGCAGGGGCCATCTGGCCGAAGGCCAGGTCTGCACTAGGGGGCAGACTAAGATACGCAGCTCCGGTTTCATGAATAGCATAGCTGGAGTCCATGTATCCTAATTTGAGTTTTCACAGTGTCCCCACTGGGGAAAAACTCTCCCACCGACTTTCCTTACTTTTCACAATATGGCTGAGTATCGGAGTCCATGGGCGCCATCAGCAGTGGATTTAGCAGGTCCTTACTAGACCCGCTAAATCAACCGCCAGGAGATGGATCTCTGAGCCTCAGTGGTGACAAGGCCTGAGCTCTCGATCTGGTTCAACTCCAAGCTGGAGTCTAGTTTTCATCTAGAGCCGCCTGGGCATGGCAGATACCAAATTCTCTGTGATGCTCTTGGTGGTTAAATCTATCCCTGCCCACACCTTGGTTCCTTTCTTGCAGCATGTGAAGCCTTGTCCAGCCCCGCCCTCCCTCCAGCGCCCCAGGGGCACTGAATTGCCCTCACGCGGGTGGAGCCAGGCCCCTCCATACCTCAGAGCTTGCGGCTTCTGGCAGGAGGGCTGGGCTGTGCTATTCGCAGGGTAACGCAGCTCACACCCGTCTCCTAGCCTGGAGGAACGTTCGCCCAGGGTCGCCCAGGGGAAATTGGCTTCGCGCCAGGCCTGACTCTCCTCTGACCCGCGCCGCGGGGATCCCGTACACCTCGGCAAAGCAAACAGCGCGGCTGGCGCGGGCCAGGCTGGGGGCGGTTTTGCAGCCAGGAGTCCGCTCACCGCGGCGTGTGTTTTGTTTTCCAGGCGGCACGGGGGACCGGGAAAAGGTGCCTGTCAATCATGAAGCCTTCCTGCTCATGGCTAATTCCCAGAACGAGATGGAAGATTGGGTGAAAGCCATCCGGCGCGTCATCTGGGCCCCCTTCGGCGGAGGTACTGCACATAGCTCGCATGCCCATACGTTAAAACTCTGGCCTCACCGCGGCGTGTGTTTTGTTTTCCAGGCGGCACGGGGGACCGGGAAAAGGTGCCTGTCAATCATGAAGCCTTCCTGCTCATGGCTAATTCCCAGAACGAGATGGAAGATTGGGTGAAAGCCATCCGGCGCGTCATCTGGGCCCCCTTCGGCGGAGGTACTGCACATAGCTCGCATGCCCATACGTTAAAACTCTGGCCTCAAGGTAAACCCCGTTCTTGTGCTATCATAACCCCCACTCCGCTTCGCTGCCACCGCCGCTTATCTGTCGACACATTTTAATATCTGCCGCTGGGGCGGGATTACGAATATGTAAATCCCCAGCCCTGGAGAAGGCTGATAGGCTGTGCCAGTGAACGATGCCCAGATAAAAGGGGCTTAGCCTCTCACTTTCATCCTGGCTAACGGCCTGAAGAAAGGCCCGAAGCAGAGAGAAGGGGGCGCGCAGACTTTCAGAAAACGCCGAGGACCCCGAGTGCGTAATGGGGACAGGTGCAGCCTGACCGTTTGTGCCTTGAAAGCGATCCGGGGGCTCTGGGCGTGGTGGGGAAGGGCTGCCTTGCTCGGGGCCCACGTGGTTTCTAGCAGGGTCCCCGTCTTCCAGGGCTCTGGGATCCAGCCGCCAGCAGGGAGGTTTCCGGGAGCTCGGCGTCGGCCGGGGAAGCGCGCAGCGGGTTCGCGTGCGGCTGGGGTGGGTTTAAAGGGCAGGTGTGTAAGACCGACGGACACAGCTGAGCTGGGAAGTGGGATCCGGGCTGGGTGGGAACTGCCTGGCCCCCCAGCTCCAGAGCCCTCTGCCCTGGCCACAGCTGGCAGGGGCCCGCAGGAGCAGGGTCTGGGCTTGCCTCCAGCAGAATTAGCCGGCTGGCCCCGCGC